AGCTTGGACATTCATTGCTCTTCAATTCTCCCCCTACTCCTTCCATTTTTAATAATCTCTGTATTTATTGAATTATTTTTTAATTTTTTTAAAAAATTTATTTATTGTATTTTTTTATTTACATAAAAAATAAAAAATAATTTAAAATTTCTTACTCATTTAATTAATTATTTTAAAATTAAAATTAATTTTTTTAAACTTATGAAAATTTTGAAAATGAATAGTATTTAGATATTGAATTCAGAATTTCATGTCTTATGATTTTTCATCAAAAGAGTAGTCACTAGACCATTTAATACTGGATAAATTAAAATTTATTTTTAATTTAAAATCTCACATTTTAAAAAAAATTAATAATTAATAATTATTTTTTAACCTGTGAGCTTTTTAATTTAATTATTTGGTTAAATCCCCATTTTGGTCCCTGAACTATTGTACGAACCCCTGATTTGGTCCCTGAACTAAAGAAATCCCTGATTTGGTCCTTAAACTATTGTACGGACCACTTATTTGGTCCCCATTGTTTATAATTTGGCCTAAGTTGGTCCTTGAACTATTGTATGGACCCCCAATTTGGTCCTTACTGTTTACAATTTCGCCCCAATTTGGTCCCTGAACTATTATTTAACGGAAAGACCAAGTTGGGGTTAAATTGGTAAATAGTAGGGATCAAATTAGACATCCGTATAATAGTTTAGGGACTAACTCGGGAGTCCGTACAATAGTTTAGGGACCATCTCAGGGTCCATACAATAGTTCAAGAACAAAATTAGGGATTTCTTTAGTTTAGGGACCAAATCGGTGTTCCGTACAATAATTCAAGGACCAAAATAGGGGTTTAGCCTAATTATTTTCTATTAATAAACCGTTGGTTTTTGTTTACTAGGTTAGAAAGACAAAGTTGACAGAAAATCGCACATCATTTTCAACCCCTCGCCATACAGGCTAGTTGGCATGGCACGGTGGGCACTCATCTCATCCTGTTAGCCGTTGCTTTCCTCCATCCAATCTAGTCCAATGGCAATGGCACCAACGAGACTCCAGCTGGCAACTCTTTTTTTTCTTCAGGATAATGTTATAAGAATAATATTTTTATCTTATTTTTTATATAATTTTTACATATTACTAAATAAGTGAATATATTTTGATATTATAAATTTTACATAAATTAAAAAAACTATTATTTTAATGAAACATCAAATTATATAAAAAAAATAAAACAAAAAAATAAAAAAAAAAGAAAAAAAAAAAATAAAAAAAAAACAATTCCTCCTTCTTTACTCTTTGGGAGAGTTTTTAATCAAAGTTGCTTGTCTGGACTGAACCACATCATCACTTTTGTCTTCTTCTCCACGTGGCCACTTCCACTGCCATTGCCTACATACAAGATACAACCATCATGCCAGCTTGGACATTCATTGCTCTTCAATTCTCCCCCTACTCCTTCCATTTTTAATAATCTCTGTATTTATTGAATTATTTTTTAATTTTTTTTAAAAATTTATTTATTGTATTTTTTTATTTACATAAAAAATAAAAAATAATTTAAAATTTCTTACTCATTTAATTAATTATTT